GGATCAATGACAGACGATTCCCATTCACTGCACTTCACAGAAACCTACAACAATCAACAATGGAGCAATTAAGTACCTGAGTTTTTATTTCCATGGAAGTCTGTTTCTGCCACTCTGGAAAATATAAATATATACCATCTCATTTAATATATAATCTCATTAATATATAATGAGATATATATTATGACCACATTATAACATTGAGATATAATACAATCTCAATATAATGAGACACTTTCTCATTGTTTTGAGATAGTATCTCATAAAGATGATTATAATGCTATAATTATTATTATATTGAGATAGTATCTCATTGTTATAATGAGATATAATACTATATCTCATTATGTAGATATGAGATACGACAATATAATATTTCATTATGAGATAGTAATCACAGTATCTCATATTGAGATAACTATCTCATAATGAAATATATTGTATTATATCATTATATCTCATTACTATGTTTCTTCCTGCTATATCTATGTAATGATATAGCAGGAAACAACTGCTCAGTATATATCTCAATACATCTCAAAACAATGAGATATATTGAGATATTTTTGGAATGCTTTGACCTCTCTTGGTATTGGAATTCAGAGGCCAGATGGACAAATCTGTATTATATTGATATATAATACCATTTTGATATCATATCAACCACAGTGGTGCCACAATTACATCTCATTGTTGTAATGAGATATAGTACTATAGAGTATTTTATAGGTTTAAAACTTTAATGTTTGTGATGCTGAAATGTATCTTGTTTTGTTAGGTTTTGTCCGCTTTGAGTTTTCTCCATTGATTTTGGAGTTAGAAATTTTAGATGTGTCAAGGCACTAACCTAATGACCTGGTGAAACATCACTTAGTACCACCTGGGTCTGGGTCAGCGTAAAGGCTGAGCCGGGCATAATTTGGCCTTCATGCCCTCCATGCAACCAGTGGAAGTTGGTGGCATGGAGGTCTGTCTAGCGGCACCACTGTGGTGTATTATATGTTCTCTTATCTCTTGACCTCTCAGGTTGTTGAGAGGCCCGACTTATGTGGCACCACTGCGGTTGATTGTAGGTCCGTTGCTGGGGGACATCTGATTGCTGGGGGACATCTGATTGTTGGGGGTCCTCTGATTGTTGGGGGACCTCTGATTGCAGGTGGACATCTAGTTGCTGGGGGACATTTGATTGCAGGGGGACATCTGGTTTGGTGGAGACTTTTGAATTGTTGTTTTTCAAAGCAACTTCCAACTTTCCATTCAGATCTGAAACCAGAGTCTGTAAAGATTTTACTGTTTCCTCCAGTTCCTTGCATTTACAAACATGTTCTGAGTGATTCTTCAGTTGTTCTTCGTACTTCAGTCTGATCGTGTACTCATCCATCATCACGTTAATTAGGCCTTTGTTTCTGGAGGCGTATTTTTCTGCCTCCCTCTTAAAATAATCTAACTCTTGAAGAATTCTCTTGTCCGTTGTTACTTTGGAAGAGCTGGAAACTTTTGATCCTCCTATGTTGATGTTTCTGTCTTGGTCATGTGTGTTCTTTGTCCGACGTTCTCCTTCTAACATGTTTTTCAGTTTTTTAATTTCTTCCTGCTGGACCTTGACTTCTGTCTCCCTTGCAATCCGTTGCTGTCTTTCCTCATTGAGCTCTTTTTTCAAGTCATTTATCTGCATTGTCAGATCCCAGATGTAACAAGTTGTTTCTTGCTCGCCGTCGAATGATCTTGGGCTCTCAGTTAATTCGCATTCATCTTCATCATCAAAATGAAGGACCGCATCATAATCAACCTGGATGTTTTGTTCAATCATCTCCATCCAGGAAAGCGCTGCTGGAAAATCTACTTGTTGGTTCATGATTATAATCAGTTAAATTCTTGTTTGTTTAAAAGTTGTGTAAAATCTGGAATTATATCCTCCGAGCTTCGATCAATTTCGAGCGTGCTTTGAAGAGTGATCTGTCGCGATAGAACTGTGGAACAGGTCTGAGAAAACACTGTCTGAGAGCTACAATCAAGAGAGAGATTCCTTTGTTGTATCACAGTGATGTCATAACCCCTGATGTCATAGAGACCACTGGAACTGAACATGTTAATTCAACCTGCTGTTTGAAAAATGCCACACAGTAGCACTAATGACATAGATGGAGAATGATCCGGACTGTGCAGCTAAAAACAATGAATGAGACGTGGAGGAGGTGACCAATCCTCGGCATTAAGTTGGCAACATGTTATACTTAGACTTCCTTTATTGTCATTGTACAAAAAAAACACAAGGTGAATCTCGACAACGAAATGTCGTTACTTGGCTACCAGTGTGACAGAGCTAAAACCTTATACTACCCAAAAAATACAAAATAGCTAAATAAATATATAAGAGCAAAGAATAACGTGCCATAGAATCCACAGCGTTTTGGAGCAGGTCAGCCTCTCCACACTTGATTCTGATAGAGAATTTGTGAAGGCAGCTGAAGATTAAGGGATGGGGATTCTATTTTTCATTCATAACCGCATTACAACTAACAGGAAGAAGCTTCAGCGTAATTAAATAGGCGTGTTTTATATATGTAGTTTTTTTTTTCAATTTAAGTTCCAAATATTTGTTCAATGTGTTTTTTACATACTGCTTCAGTGTTAATTTAGAAGAAGCACTGTTTGTCTTTTCATTGTTTTGTTTATTTGAAAAACCTGAAGTGGAGGTTCATCTTTAATACTTTTAAGATAAGATTATTTAGTTTGTTTTTTACAGCCACTGACCATCTTTTTTGCCTATTGTTAATTAAAAAGGTGTTTTGCAATTATTTGTTTTTATGTAATAATTTTCTGATGTTAGTGATAAGTTATAGCTCATTCTGTTAAAATCTAATAAGGCAGATGTAATATTTCAGGAAATTGAACAAAGGTCCCCACTAGGTAAGTTGTATGTGTAACTTATGCAAATAATATTTTAATCTGGTCCTCGTCAAACATGCTTTTTTTGGAAGTTAATGAGTCCTCCTGTATCATGGCCCAGACAAAGTTGATGAATCTACTTTTGAAATTGAGTTATTTCAAGCCGTGTATAGGTTAATACAGCTATGAATAGTGTAAAATATTTTTTCTGGATTTTTAGAACCACTAGAAAGGCTAGTCCCCGAATTCGATGAAAAAAGTAGTAGTCCCCGTGATCAACGGAAACACGTGTGTGTGTGTGTGTAAGTGTGTGTGTGTGATGCGGTGCCCGTCCAGGAGGCGGTCGGCTCTATTGTTCATGCGAGACTTTGGAACACAGTCTCCAGCCTGTCCATTCAGGATGTTGGATTGGACCTCCTTGAGCAGATTGAAATAAAAAAAAAAAAGACCAACCAGCATCACCCACACCATTATCCCCATCATCCAGCAGGGACAATGGCTGCCGCCCCCCCCTCCTTTCCCAGGAACCTCGGCCCTCCGTTCCCACAGTGCCGTCCCGTTCTGAGGAGCCGGAGGGCCATTGTTACGCGGGATGACCTGTCCTCCGATTGTTCCCAGGAGGACACACACACACACACACAGTTTTCACACAGCGTGCTCGCCGTAACTCCCAGCGCCACCTCTGCATCTTCACTTTGTGTGTGTGTGTTTTGGTTTTGTTTTTGAATGGAAACTTTCTCCAGCCCAGGGTAATTGCTTCTTCAAACGTGTCTCATCCAAAGTCGCCAGCGCGGAGTGGGCCATTTCGCTGATAGCGAACATAAGAGCAGAGACGTAAAAGCTGGAGATGGCTGGAGATAGAGCGGTATTTACCACTGCGGTGCCAGTGGAAGTCTGAGCTTCACGATCTCGACCCATTTCGCGAGCTGGCAGGGTAATGTAGCAGAACGTATCCTGGCACACTGGAAAGGCCTGCAGAGCACTTTGATTTTATTGCCACAGAACTCGTCTGGGACCCACTTTTAAAACGCCAAACAGTGGGATCAGTTCTGCTGTTTATTTGTCTCATTTGTCTGATTGAGCCTGTGACTAATTCGTTTTTATTTTCAGAGCCGCATTTCGCTGCAGCGATGACGAAAGTAGAAGCGGTCTTGACTCAATCCAGGATGTTTACCAGCACATTAAATGTCAGATCTCTTCTTAACATTCATTCCCTACAGAGTTTCTTTTGGAAGTTCGAAGCGAGAGAAAACAAAAATCAGGTGAATGGTGGAAAAAAAACACACACAAAAAAAAACCAATCAATTTTGAAGAGAAACACTTTGCCTGTTTTATATTTTCAAAGACGCTGACAATGTGGTAAAGGTTAAACCTGGATCATTTGAAGATGTCCGACATTAAAGCTGCAGTATCTCACTTTTAGAAAAATGTTTTTCCCATATTTATTAAAAATGTCACCATGTCAAGACAGCATCGTCAGTATGACACAAATAATCTACACAAAAAAAAGTTCCTCCTCATCCTCCCGATCAGCTCTGTCAAAAACAACAAATCAGAGCCAGGAGGAGGATCTTAGCGCTGTCAATCATCCCTGTATATGCTGTTGAATGCGCTAATGGCAGAAAAACAGCTCATCAGTACAGGAAAACCATTTATCTGCAGTCATCAGTGGCTATGCTAACTAACATTAGCATCTGTGGCAGGCTATGTTGTGGTGAACCAGTTATTGTTTGGTTGCTCTAATACCCCTTATTGTATTCATGGTTGATGGAGTACAAGGCACAGAATACAAACCTCACTTTTCAGATTGCAAAAAAATAATAATACAGAAACCAAAAGTAAAATCTTAACTAATAGAATTATGGTGGTGAAATGTGAAAGTTCAAGATGCGTGAATGCTTTTTTGAGGGTCGTGTTTGAGATGATCCAACAGAGTAAAGATGAATGAGTTGATTTCCCTTCAGGTGTAAGTTTAGCTTTTCAGAGCTGAACGATCAGCAAAGTCACTTTTTATTAAGAAGGAAAAACAATGTTGAATATACATTTGGAATAAACTGCATTTTTTGTGACGCACATTAAGCCCGTTTTGTGTGATTTGTAGCAACGGACACTTTTTCAATTTATGAACATAGATTTCCTTTATTTCATATCATTTCTTTGACACGCAATTTATACACCTAGGAGTACTGACCGTCCAGACTTTCTAAAATGAAAGCATCACGTTCAGGTTATAATACTCCTCAAAGGCTTCCAGCTCCAACGAAACCTCCTGCACTGCCACACACTTTCAAAGGCCAGATTTGATAAAAGGAACAACAAAGAGCCATCTTTCTTTCCCCACTTCCAGCAAGATAATTACTACTTCTTTTCTAACATTCAGAAAAGATTAAAGGACACTCGCTTTGAGAAATATTTATCACCATATCTTCGAATGAAACTACCAAAAAACAAAACAAAAAAAATGTCGAGTGACTTAATCATGAAGCCACAATAATATCTGGCTCATGCTGCTGTAATATGACATGAATAAACACGATTTGTTTTTGGTAAGTGGAGATGAGCAACTACAAACAATCAATTAAAGGTTCAATAAATATGTTATTACAGTGGCTTGATTGAAATGTTCATCTGTTCATTGTCAAATCTTCTAAAAATTCTCCGATACAAGATTTTTACCTGGATACAAAGAATAGCAAGAGTGTGTTTGGTTTTATGTGTTTACTGTCGGCCGGGCTGGCTTTCATTCTTCAGGTGACAAGTGAAAACTACTCAGGTGAGTAGAACAGTGGGCGACTTCTGTCCTCTGGTTCACCTCTTCGGTTCCCGGGGAACCATCCTCTTGATGGAAAAGAAAAAAACAAACAAACTGCAAGAACAAGTCTGTCGCGACACGAGTTAGCTCTTCTCAGATCTGTTCCTGTTGAGAGCAGCTTTAGGCGTGAACTCCAGTTTCTCTTTAAGGCTAAGCACCTGAGTGCCGTCTGTTCCCACCTGCTCCTGCAGCTTTCTCTCCTCCCTCAGTTCCAAGATGCTCTTCTCTTCCTCCCGAGGTTTCGGAGTGCCTCTGATGAACCACTCCAGGTGGTAGCCCACGGCGCCGACCACAAAAGCGACGGGGAAGGTGACGTACGGCGCGTAGGTCCGCATCGCGGCCCACACTACGGGCCACATGCTGCTTTAATTTCCCGGCTGCCCTGAAGGTTAGAAGATAAATAAATGATATAATATTAAGAGTGAAATTGTGGCACAAATTGTTCTTTTCAGAACAGTAATAGGAAGAAAAAAAAAACTATTTAGGAGAAATCAACTTCTAATGCCAGAGTGGTCATCTTCTGTCCACTGGCCCCCTCTTGTGGTCAAATCTCAACAGTTAAACCAAATTAGGTTCCATTGACAGGGAAATAAAAGTCTATAGTGTTTTTGACCAGAAAATAATCAATTCTTCAGGTTTGTTGCTACATTCGGTTCTGAGGTTTTTGGCTTCAACATGCAACAAAAATACATTTAAATGTTGAGAAATAAAAAAATAAATATTTTTTTTGTTAAACAGTATTTCAAACTGATTATGACTTCATGTTGTGAAATCCGGTGTGGTTTTCTGGTCACATTTCAGATTAAAGCAATTGTAGAAATCAATGTTATATGCTGTTAGCCAAAAAACTTAGAATTAATAGATGGAGGACTGCTGCTTTTTAATCATGATTATTTGCTGCTTCAACTCAAACGAGGCAATAAATCTGTCAATCTACCGACATTAAAGGGTTAACATCAGCCGATAAACTTCAGTTCATCTATGTGCGTTAAAAAGTCAATAGTGTCGCAAATTCGACAGTTTTCTCATTTTACGTCAGACACCTTTCGCGTCACCCAGTTAATATAATTCAACGTTCTAACAGAGTTCGCCTTTTTTTTTTAAATTAAAATACCACAAAAACACAAGCTGACAAACTGACCGTGAGTTCAGCTAAAAACTGACACAAAGAACCGCCCAAAAACACGAAGTCGCTTTGATAAAATCATTCACGAAAATCAGTCGACAAAGTCAGCATCACCCTGGTGGCACAGCTGGACGTGTTTGACATTCATAATCTCCACAAGACGGGCACCGGAAGTATGAACATTGATCTACTGGTTTGCTACGTCCGCCCAGAAACCTGTTACTCTCACGCCGTTTATTTTGGCCATTTTTAACCGCCGTTAATTCATTTCATAAGACCTCACTCACCTCTGCCGTTAACGCGTTTGTTCTGGAGAGACGTCATTTCCGTGGGTTTCCGGTTTCCTTCCTGTATCAACGTCGTGCGCCGGTTTTTCTTCTGCGCTTTACCACCCCCTACTGGTAAATAGAGTACACTGCATTGAAAAACCTGCAACATGTGCTCCCTCAGCTTCTTCTTCCTGTGGCTAAAAATGATGTGTAATAAAATGTATCTCCGTATTTAAGTTTGTTTAGATACAATTAACAAAAAAAAAAAAATCTAAAACGAGTGTTTATTTTTTTTTATAAACATCACCAGCTGGATTTAACAATTCACAAACTGAGATTCGTTTTTAAGAAATAAATCAGAAATCAGGATGCAACTGCAATGTTGTGTACTTTTTCAAACCTGGAGAAAATTAGATATCCACTTAAATAGCCATTCATCCATGACAATATAGTATGTTGGTAATGGACAGAAACAAAATAACAGATTGAATGGAGAATATTACTTTTTAAAGAATATTCATATCCTTGCAAGCAAGATTGTTACAGACAACATCAGGAACGACCACTTTTAAAATGATGCTCACAGGGGCAGTCTATCGGGTTACGCCGGATGACTTTCTAAGTTTCACAGACTTAATGGGTGCAGGTGTTTTCTCGTCGTTGGCTCCATCCTTGCCAAATCAAGTTCTTCCTGTTACCAGGGATCTGATCCAAGCCTTCAAGATAAACAAAAAACAAACAAACAAACAAAAACTCTGAAAACATGTAACTTTCCAGACTAAGTAGTCTTAATGTAGGAAATTGGTAACTTTCCAAATGACCAAATTAAGCAACGTTTACAGAGCTGCATGTGGTAAAAGTTCCAGAGAAATCAGTCAGGTTTCCGCACCCATAAAACATACAATATATGTGAGATCTAAGAACCCTTTGGGTATGCAAACATGCCATACTCCTGCAAAAATACTTTAAGGCAATGCCTCCCAGCCCTGGTCCTCAAGGCACAATGCCCTGCATGATTCCCTATTTTGACACATCTAAAACATGCAAAGCAATGCGTCTTGAGGACCAGGGTTGAAAAACACTGCCTTAAGGAACACACTCAAAACTTTCCCTGGCCAGATGGACTTGGCAGCTAAAGTACCAGGTAAAATACTTTAATGTCGAAGACACAGTTTAGGACCAGTCCTCTTCCCCTTAAAAGCAATTGTGAATGAATGGTACTATATTTTTATATGCCACACATATAAAAACACAGTTTGAATATCTGTTTTTTATTCAGGTTTAAAAGATTTGTTTAATATACATTGCTATGAAAAATCAATTTTTCATAGCCATTTTTTTTCATAGCAATTTTCATGTTGAGAAATTTGCCGACAAACTGCACCTTGTGTTTATCCAGGTTATCCTTCCTGAATATACCAAAACATGCTTATCTGAAACACCAAGACCAAGAAAACAAATAAACAGAGAAAACACTAGCAGATAAAGATTGGTGCATTTCTGTGAAGACATTTAAAGCGGTATTCTACGTGTCTCTCAAAGTGCATTTCTTTCACCCAATAGGAGAAGCAGTATCAGACTCGGTATGATGGTTTTCTGGGCAGTGAAATCAGTCAGCCTTCTTTGCACAGCTATGTCTGATTGATGACACTGATTATTCGGCCCCCACTCTGGAAACTTTTCCATTTAACGACAACAACAATCCTCGCCACCTAGCTGATCTATAGCAGTCGGAAAGCAGCCTGTCACAAGGCGGCGGCTGGCTTTCACTTAATGGTTTCTTCTAGTAATGCTCCAGAGGAAAAAAAACTAAAACAAAACACGGAGCCATGTCCAGATTTGTTCACATTAGTTTCAGTGAAACCGGAATTGTGATTAAGTTGAACCTTGTGTGGGTGATTATGTTTGAAATCCTTCTTTAAACTCCTGCATCCCTGGGTTGCCAGGACTGGCATGTGATCAGTCCTGTCAAATAAGGAGAAATGTGCTCATCTCCTGCCACACACACACACACACACACACACACACACACACACACACACACACGCACACACACACACACACACACACACACACACACACACACACACACACACACACACACACACGCACACACGCACACACGCACACACACACACACACACACACACACACACACACACACACACCCACTTACTCCCCCAGGCTGACAACATTGCCTGTGCCAGTTCTGCTTTAGTAGCTGAACTTGGCAGCAGTGGGTTTATTTAATAAATGTCCGTTTATTCGTTAAATGAGATTTAAAGCCACGCTCGCCAATATTTTGCATCTAAAAAAAACCCACCCCACCAAAAAAAACGCAGTTATATCTATCAATCCAAATCATGAGCTGAGCCTGACAGAGCAGAGTGTCACAGCCCTGTGACACTAAAGCCCCGCAGACTCGACCTATTTGTTAAAGTTAATTACGGGTGTCAGGCATGGTCAGCGGTGGGAAGTTTCCTCATTACACACGGGGAAAAAAATGACAGGACTCAAGTTAAATCACTGCTAAATCACAGAAGTCAGAAAAAAGAAAAAAAAAGACTGTGCAATAGGAAATGGGTTTCAGGGAACCGAACCGTAAAACATGCAAGATAAAGGCCAGGTTTGTGAAATGCAAATGATCACCATCATGAGTCATTCCAATAATATTACAAAACTACATTTATGTGACCGTCTCCCAACGTTGGTGAATTACGCATCATCTGTAGTAATACTTTTTGCATATTTTGACAAAGCTGTGATAATACTGATAACCATAATCAGCATGCTTACCATAACAATGGGATTTTCATATTACATGTCCACCCTGTTCAGAGTGAAGCACAACAATTCTTTCCACAAACTAATCAAGCAAGAGGACAGATGGTGAAGAACTAAAGAACCAGATGTGGGAAGGAAAGACAGCTGCGTATTCATTTTGTTTATTCACTCGACTTCACTGACAAAAAGAAAAAAGTAACTTTATGTGCATATTTACTTTCAGATAGGGTCAGACTCAACTTTCTGTCAAAATCGTGAGCATTTTTAATCCTGAGATCAGGTGTCAATCGTGGCATATTTCTCCAGAATAAGGTTTAGACAGTCACTATTCTTCAAAGCTTTTACAAAACCAACTCATTATAATAGGCATACTGAGCTTAGCCCAACTGTTTTTGAACACAGACCCATATGTCAAACCTGGAGAAAAGCACCAACCATGCTTGCTTGCTGTCCTTTTTGCATCTACAGATATCAAGCTTGGTTGATGTTTTTTCTTGAAATTATAACTATGTCCAGATTTAGGAGCATTAAGCTCTCGGTGTTGATCTGCCAATCAGAGCAAAACCGGTGAAAATTGATTGGCATGTCATTATTTTAGTGGCAGCCAAATTATCCTGTTAAAATCACCAGAAAAACAATAAAAAAATTGATTCCAGTTGCTTTGTATGCTTATCAGGTTAGTAAATAAGATCAAGAATGTATACAAATGGCGAAACATTTTATTAGCATCACAAATCATTTAGCAAAACTCATGACTATGGAAAAAATATATATTTTTCATATTGTCTTTGCACTAAACTCCAAAAACTCATACTTTGCACACAATTTTGTCAATTTCAGAAAGTCCATAATATTTTTATCTACTGCATAGTCTTCTGTACAGTTGTACAAAGAAATATTTGATTAATGTGTTAAACAGAGTGAGAAAAAAAAGAAAAAAAAAAAGTTTTTTTTACTGATTTAGTTGGAAAAGGCCTGATTAAACTGAAAGGCCTCAGTGTGACAACAGATCTAATAACTGTAATGATCCTGTCACTTGTAATTACATATTAACTCAAATTCAACCACACATTTATAACCCCACTTTTTTTTTGGAAAAAAACAAAAGTTTAAAAAAAACCCCAAAAAAACAACTTCTCTAACTATAACCATTATCCTTGGTCATTAGAAACCACGTCACGCAGTGAATGTGCCAGTAAAGCTTCTGCGCCTCATTCGGAGTGCAACGTCAGGTTTCTAACCGTTAAATAAAATGTAGCAGTCGCTGCCAAGCCAAAGTGTGGCAGCGACCCCAACACTTTGCTGAATATACCGCAAAGGGTGGGTGGGTGGGTGGGTGAGGGAGGCACCTCTGGCGACGCATGGGAAAAATCCGAGCGGCCGTCGACCCGTGCGCCAAATGACGGCGCGCCTTCCTAACGGCTGTGAGCGGGGCTCGCTGGCGAAGCCGTGCTCACATCAGCCTGACGACGGCACTGGCGAGAAAGTCCTCGTAGCTGAGGCGGACGTTGCCCGTCATGCCGGTGTCTCGCTCCCTGAACACCTGCGTCATGCTCTGGAGCTGCGTGCACGCCTGGATGAAGCCGTCCAGCTGGATGCCGCGGGGGCCGCCCCTCCCGCCGAAGCGCTGCACCAGCATCTCGGAAAACTGGGGGCTGAGCTTGTAGCCCATCTGAGTTAAAACTGAAGAAGGAGAGAGGGGGTAGAGAAAACCCCCCCCGAAAAAACAGTGAATATATATATACATATATATATAAAATAAATAAATGACCCGCAGCACCTTTAAGACAAGATAATGAAACATGGATACCTTGGTGCAGCTCTGTGCCACTGATGGATCCGGAGCGGTCCCTGTCATACTGCTGAAACAAAGCCCTCCACTGCTGTATGTAATCCCACAGCGCTGAGAACCCAAACAAGTCTACCCGACCCGACCGCGTCTTGTCAAACATATCTGGAAGAAGAGGCGAGAAAACACAAGTTCAGACAAACAATCCTTGGAAAAAAAAAAAAAAACCTTTTTCCTCACAGTCCTGCCAAACCGAAGCATAAATGTTTTAGTGCGTTTTCCTGCAGCCCTCCCATCCATCACCGCGGACCTTCTGCTTCTAACACCGGTCCACAGAGGTCACATTGTTCTCATTATGGCTGGAGATAACATTAGGTCCCTGCCAGCAAATGTAATCGGAATGGAGCAGGAATCAAGACAGAACATTCCTTTCCTTCCCCTGGACTAGAAACTGAGCTAAAGTTTAGAAATGTCTTATCCTGCGGCTTGAATTAACGTCTGTTTTTTCCAGGTGACATTTGTGCCACTTTGCCAGAGGGTAAAACCGCCGCACTGCTGTGGCATTGAACTGTCAACATGCTAAAAACCGGTTCTTCCATTTTTGGCACTCACTGATCATCATGAGACAGGTCTCGTCGTTGAAGTGGGACCAGTTGGCGTTGATCATGGCCTGTTTCAGCTCCTTCGAGTTGATGAAGCCGCTCCGGTCGGCGTCGATGCTGTAGAACCACTGGTACGCCTCCGGGTTTACACCAGGAGGGATGTTACCTACACAGATAAGGGTGGAGAAAATGAAAGATGAGCAGTCTCAGGATTGCTTCATATTTGTTTTCTAAAAGCCAAAAGCCAGAAAATATTCTTTCAGTGTTTCTATTCCTTGTATTTAATTAAAACCTTTCCATTCCCTTTAGAAATTCACCTGTGCAAAATTTATCCCTACATTAATCCAGTTCTTCTGTGAAGGTCTTAAATGTTAGACCACTAGTGAATAAAGCAAAACACAAAAAATATTGAAAAGAAAAAAATAAATACAAGATATGAAAAATAGAAAAACAGCATCACAACAATAATGAAAATGTGGCTTGCAAAGAAAAGTGGACAAAGAAGAAAAACATTTTTGAAAGAAAACAACAAAATTCTATTTAAAGTTTCTCAGAAACCATGTAGAGGACAAATCAAACATGTCAAAGGTGCTCTGGTTGGATGAGACAGATGCTGTGCTTTGAGACAAATAAGAAACATGCAACACTTTTTTGATATTCGTTTATCAGAAATAAGTATTGGGAAACAACTGATCCTTTTCCTTCCACTTGACAACTGGGTGTCATTTTGTATTATCTTGTTTCAAATAGCACAAAAACACATGGGACAGATTTTGTGCAATGTGAAAATTTGGTGTGAATATTTTTGAAAAGCCACAGCGTCACACTCACTGCTCCACATGCATCAGAAAAAAAATAGAAATCAGGTAAATATTGGAAACGCTGTCATGAGGAAGAGAGAAACAGTACTGCGTCAAGAGGAAGTCAACTGATTAAATGGTGGACAATACACAGAGACGTAGAAAATACAGGGCATTTTGCAAGGAGGAGTAAAGAGACGGCTGACTGTCATAAACATGAATGGGAAGAACGACAGGTGACATCCTGATGTCTGTCTCTGCAGGGAAGAGATGGAAACTTGAGAATCTGTGCTTAGATGCGACTAAAAACGGTGCAATCAGACACGCACACAAAACGCGCTGCCTGCCCATCTGTCTCTGACTTCTGCTTGGGCCTCGCTCTGTTTTACCAGAGAGTCATTACTCCAGCTGCATAGACCTGCAGAGGATCCAAAAACTGAGTTGCGTCTCTGCATGAGGATCTGGGAACGCGGGTCGTTTTTTTTTTTATCAATCATCCCACCGCGAAGCGAAAGAAAGAAGCAGCAAAGAAGAAGTGTGAGGTCGATCTTGCAGTCTTATTGTGGATCAAATATATTTTTTATTTTTTTACTCTTACAAGTTACAGAGCTGCAGTTGCAGACTGGAATTACCTGCAGGAGCGTTGTATTGGTTAGGTCCTCCGTAAGGCTGTCCTCCATAAGGCTGTCCTCCGTAACCCCCAGGCGCGCCACTAGGTCCATGCCCATATTGCCCACCATAACCTGGAGCTCCATAACCCCCATATGGGCCCCCAGTGGGGCCTGTTCCACCTCCAGGGTGACCCCCATAGCCTCCCTGACCTCCACCATATGGGTTACCTTGAGGTGGGTGTCCTCCTCTTGGATACCCCTACAAAGTAATAGAAAGGAAAACAGATGAATTCAAGTGATTTTGAGTTTATTCTTTGGCAACCAAACAAAAACCTAATAACAGAACCCCATCTTAGCAGTGTGTTCTTTATAAATTGTGTAAGATTGTATGATGGGGTAAATTTGCCTGGGACAACACAGTTTCTGGAGCTACATACATATTAATGATGAGCTCCTACTAATTCAATTTAACAGAATGAAAGTTGAGCGGCACAGTGGTGCAGCTTGTAGCCTTGTTGCCTTGCAACAAGATTCTGGGTTCAAATCCCAGCTTAGGGTCTTTTTGCGTGGAGTTTGTTCTCTCTGGATACACAATTTAGATCTATTGTAATAACACATGAAATGATTTTCAAAATTCAAAAATACTTTATTGATCCTAAAAGGATGAATAAGAACACATCTTTGCCAGGGCACCAATAAGTGTGCCCTGGCAATCACTGAATAAATGCTTAGAGCAGATAAATGTGTGGATGTGCCAAAACTTTCTCCAACTGAACAAAAATAAAACTGAAGTCATTATTTTTGGACCTAAAGAGGAACGATCTAGAGTCAATGCACAGCTTCAGTTATTACAACTAAAACCTAGCGATCAGGCCCGAAACCTGGGAGTAGTGATGGACTCGGACTTGAACCTCCAGAGCCACATAAAGACAATTACAAAGTCAGCCTTCTATCACCTGAAGAACATCTCCAGGATTAGAGGACTAATGTCTCAGCCAGATCTAGAGAAAACTCATTCATGCGTTTGTCTTTAGTCGCATTGATTATTGCAACAGCATCTTCACAGGCCTGTCCAACAAATCAATCAAACAGCTGCAACTGATCCAGAATGCTGCTGCTCGCGTTCTCACTAGAACCAGGAAAATAGAGACATAACACCAGTTTTAAAGTCCCTCCACTGGCTCCCTGTAGCTCAAAGAATAGATTTTAAAATACTGTTGTTAGTTTACAAATCACTGAATGGTTTAGCACCACAATACATCAAAGATCTGCTGTTGTATCAACCTTCCAGACCTCTCAGGTCTTCTGGTTCTGGTCTGCTCTGCATCCCCAGAACCAGAACCAAAAGAGGAGAAGCAGCTTTCAGCATCTATGGACCAAAAATTTGGAACAAACTTCCAGAAAACTGTAAAACAGTGGAAACCCTGACTTCCTTCAAATCTCAAGTAAAAACGCACCTGTTTAGAGTTGCATTTGAAATGTAATATGTATGGATTTGATTTTGTGGATATGTATGTAATTTTTTTTTTTTCCTGTTGTGGGCAACGGGGCCCGGCGAATACCCGTGGTTAAATGGACGGCGGAGTCCGGCGGTAACAGGCGCTTAAATTCCGTGTCAAAGGGAAGGGAGAAGAAAGGGAAAGAAGAGAGAGAAAAAAAAAAAAAAAAAAAACCTTGGTATTTTATTCTATGTTGCATGCCTTTGTGTTTTGTGTTTATGATGTAAAGCACTTTGAAATGCCTTGTAGCTGAAATGTGCTATACAAAATAAAATTTGATTGATTAATTGATTGGAGGAATGCGTTTCATGTCAAGCCCAAATAAAATTATTTCCCGTTTATGTGAACTGATTTATTGATATAGAGGCGTTTACAATTTTATAACAGTCCATAATAATAGGGAAAAAGTTTGTTTATTTGTCAAAATTGTTGAAAAGCAATGTCCAAATACAATGTCGTTCAAAATTAGACACGATATAGTCATTAGAAACTGTAAAAAAAAAAAAAAAAAAAAAAATATATATATATATATATATATATATATATATATATATATATATATATATATATATATATATATTAATTAGTGGAAAATCAGATGTAATTCATATTCTTTAGGATAAAAATTTACCTCGTGGAGAACAATCTTAACTTTTCCACTTGAAATAGATTCTATTAATTTTTAACATTCAGAAAGGGGGTCCAGAGGCCATGAATATGTGTATATATATATATATATATTATATATATATATATATATATATATATATATATATATATATATATATATATATCACTTTTGATGCAGCTTCTGATTGGCTGATTCACTTTAAAAGACATATTCAAATTAGGAGTCTCAGAGTTTCGTTTATTATGAAACATTTACGTCGAACATTTAGAATATGCAGTACTTACGAAATCACATTAACTCTTACACATAATAAGAGCTACACACATTGAAACTATTGCCCAGTAGTTTTAGTGACAGATTTCTGAACAGTCGAGCCTGGAGCTACCCCTCAGCTAACAAACCAATAAAAGTCGTTTGTGGTGCAACATAAACGACTGGCGGTGTCACGCGAAGGCTACGGACCACACAACCCACTAATTAAACCATTAAATATGTCACCATAGCAAGAAACAAAAGAAAACCATGAAGTTGTCTCACCTGTCCGTAGTGAAAACTCATGATTTGTTTGACAACTCTTCACTTCCTGCTTCAAAAACACATCCGCAATATGGAAAACAGCGCCGGCTTTTCCGCGCGTGTCATTGGTCCGTTTTTCAGTGACGCTGACACCCCGGACGTGAGCTCAGCTTCTGATTGGACGCTAGGAAAAAAAATGTAGACGGAAGGAGAGAAAAAAAAAGGGAGAGAAATTACCCAACCACAAGTCCCTCCCTACTGCACATCCAACCCAATACTTACCAAATGAGTCACTCACTACGTCACCTTGTGAAAATGCAGAACGACGATTGTCCCAAAGAATAAACAGCAATGACACCGTTCATTTGTTTGTAAATGACCACTTTATTTTGTATGTATTTATAAATACAAAATGTCAAACAAAACATCTTCAATATGTCTAATAGTCTTATGTTTTGACTATTAAAGTAGGTTTATGAAAATACAACTTTTCAGCTCCATGAACAATATAAACTTATTGTGAAGGAGTTGTAATGAAATGGTGCGATAAGAGAGAACTCCAACTGAGTTATTCAGTTGTACTAGAAAGTGCTAAGCATCGCTTAATATTACTTATAGTTATTCGTGGTCAATGCTTACATACTCATCAGTGCCCACGTTCATTTATTTGTGTTGTTGTTATTTACAAATATTACAGATCGCACATTTATTTGTGTTGTTGTTATTTACAAATATTACAGATCGCACAACCAGAACACAACAACCAGTCAAATAAACACACAATCCTTCCACATTGGAGACCTTTGTGTTAAGAGAGAAGAGGTGCACATCGAGTCCTTCAGAATATCTAAATTATTTACAAATCCACATTAAAGGATTGCTTAAGGCAACTGGCGTTTTCTCTCGTGGAGAACTCCCTCTCACCATGGAGTTGGGCAGTGTTCTTCTAGCTTTTCTCCACTAGCTTACCAGGCTTTTCTTCTGTCCTGGTGTTGCTGAGATTCCGAATAGATGCTGTAGGATCCACTCTTACAGAGGATTTGGATTTGAAGACCGATCTTGGATGTGAGAGAGGGACCATTTCGTGAGTTTCAGCGAACCTCTGCATTTCGTACTCCTTCTTCCTCAAAATGAACTTTTTGATACGTTTGAAGATGAGGTAAATCATTTCGCAGATGCACATAAAGATGCAGACAGCGGAGGAGATCACCATGAAGAGCATGAAGATCTTTTTCTCAGTGGGGCGGTTTATGTAGCAGTCCACTACGTTGGGGCAAGGAGCCAGTTCGCACTTGATTAGGCGGGGCATGTCGTAACCGTGGTAGACATAATACAGGACACCGAGGAAGCCAGCATCGAAGCCTGCCTTGAAGATCAAACTCACCTGTAAAATGGGATGCATTTGTGTCAAACTTGGAAAAAAAAAAAAAAATTAACCACAAGTGTCACTTTTGAAGCAAGTTTGTAAATTTTTTCTCCTCAGAATTCCTAAGCCCAACTAGTTCATGTCAAAGTCAAATTTTGCTAAACCAATCTTTCTTACCAGGTAAGTCCACCACAGGCCTCCACGTTTCTTTCCAGGGTGGGCATACAAGTGCTTCCCCTCGTGGGAGGTAGTGTACTCCATGTCCTTCTTCTCCCTGTACTTGACGTGACCGACGACCATGAGCGATGGGCAGGTGACGAAGATGAGCTGCAGGGCCCACAGGCGGATGTGGGAGATGGGGAAGACATGGTCGTAACAGACGTTTTTGCAGCCTGGCTGCTCAGTGTTGCAGTCAAAGTCTTTGGTTTCGTCGTTCCACACCCGCTGAGCTGCGACCACAAACACCAGGACCCGGAAGACAAACACCACAGAAAGCCAGACCCGGCCAAACACAGTGGAGTATTGGTTAACTCCACTGAGGAGATCCTTTAGACCACCCCAGTTCATGATTGCCCTCTTATAGGTGCGTGTTTGGACGGAAGATCAGGAGAGAAGCCGGAAATTGTCAGGAGGCTTCTTGTATAACCGTCCTGATGATTTGAACCTGAGAACAAGGGAAAAAAAAGAGAATTAAAAGACTAAACACTGAGAAGTGAAACGTTTCAGCTTGACAAATAAAATAATCTCAAGTTTTCCTTAGACGTTTGGTTAAGACTTTACAAACAAGGACGATAATCTGTATAAGCCAGATAAATACATTTCTAACAGTCTTAACCTCAGTTGGGAAACTAGATTGTTTTCCCAATATGGGATGTTTGACAGAGTAAAATTGCAAATTCATGCTTATCAAAGCCATGTTGACTGATAATGGGGCGCTGGTTATTTTCTCCCTTTCTCTTCCATGTATTGTGGTTGGGGCAAATAGGAATTTGGTCATGTTTTGCAGCTGCAGAGTGATGAAGTGGATGCAGTGGACCCAGGTAGTACAGCATGAATGCATGCTTTCCATGCATTCACTGATGTATGGAGAGCATTAATGAAAGGTTTAATAAAGAATAATGCACAGGTGAGCAGAAGACTCACCTGTGCTTTTAGTGTTTTTGCAGTGCAAACGGACACGATGATCCGATTTACTGCTTCAGAAATTCTTTAAAAAACTCACTGGATCTGAATATTTTACTGAAAACAGAGCAAAAAGATATTTATGAAAAGCATAAATATCTTTATAAAAAGCAAATAATAATAATGTTATGAATAATAATCTTATTCAGGTAGCAACAGGAAACATCACTACAGACAAATTCTGCGTGTGCCACGTGAATTTTTTTTAGCCCCCATTTACTCTGGTAAAAAAAAAAAATGCAAAGGGAAGCAAGACACATTTCGCATTCTTCCACTGACTCTTTGCACTGACGACGCTTAAACTGCAATTGCAGCAATAGAGCCACTGCAGTTGTCCTTTTATTGTCGTGTTCAGTTCCTAATACAAAAAAAGCAAAGAAAAAGCAGCTCTTTCATGCTAATGAACTGGGTGGAATCCAAACAGCCCGGCATTACTTTCACAAATGTATTCGCAGTTAAAAAGATGTTTCACATTCAGTCTGAGTGGGGTTTTCTAAAACTGACTCATTATACTTTAGTGGGTGAATCATCATCAGAGCCCGCCTTTGTAGAGAGGACAAGCTAATACTCTTGACTCTATTAGCAAGCCGCTTGAAATGTTTGAACAGTATGTGAAACATATCGCTTAACAGGCAAATGCAGCTGTCGGTATGATGCCATGTGTTCAATGTAGTCCAACTTCTTTAAAGTACAAAAAGCCTTTCATTTGTGCGCATGGACGTGGGAGATTGGTCTGACTGACGACAGGCCCTCCTGATACTTAATGTCTTGTCCTGATTGATTACATATACGAAAGAAATGTCTTGTATTTCAAAGCATTTAAGTACAAACTTTTTGTTTTTTAAAGCGTAGCCATCAGCAAGAGTTTGCACCTTTAAAAGTGTCAGACTTTACAAGAAAAAAGTGCCCCCTTCCCCCTCTCTCCCTAAAACTCCTTTTTATATTTACATCTCATTTTGATGAGCGTTGGCAGTCTGACAGGGGGTGAGGAGAAAAAAAAAAAAAGAGTTGGATAACAGCTTCACTGCCCACCGTTCCATTTCAGCTCCGTCTCGTCTAATCCCTCACATCTGAATTCAAAAAAATGCTCTCTGTCAACGTTTCAGCGTCACCGTGGACATATTGAGCTGTCAAATCAGATTCCATTTACTTTTTCATCCAGCATTTCTGACTATTAAATTACAACGGCATAAAAAGGCCCAACTCCACAAATGCCATCGGGATCAAAACAGAGACTATTTAAAGGCAGACACGAACAGTCGCCACTGATGCCACCCACACTTTACCTTTCCTCATAAATGGATGATCCAGACAGGAGCATTAATCTCAGAGTGCGCCTCGGCCCGTTCCTCTCAGTCTAAGATGCTGAGCAATTTTACCTGCTGAGCGATGCTTTTTGGGAGTCATAATGCATGTCATTTTGTGCAGGACGGGGCTTCTTGCATTTACATCCATTTGTCCCTGTTGATGCTCCTCATTGGTAATGGACTTTTTCCAAGGGCAATTATTAATCTCTGGTTTTGGTAAAGTTTTAACCTACCAATACGTATTTTGAAAAAAATAGTGATTTCATTTCAATTCATTTCAGAACCAAAATGTTTTGTGGAGTTGATATTTTGAAATGTTTCTATCATTTTAAGTTAATGATTTGGGTAATTAGCATGGAGCGCATTATGACATCAGGAAAAAGTCTACATGCTTTTTTCATGTGTTGTTTCCAGAGGGGTTTACTTGATACATAATACTAGAGGCAAAGATGGCAAATCCACATATGGCCTTCCTGTTATCTATTTAGAAGTTTATCTCTCCATAAAATCAAATCAGATTTCATTTGACTTGACTGGATATCTCTCTTAATCTTTGAACACCTGACTGAAGTCTTCAATTCATCTTCAACTTCAACTTTGAAGAGTTGGTTGTGCTCAGTTGTGGCGCCTTCCCTGATAATATTATTTTTAAGTGTCCGACATCTTGGTAGGTGCCTTTTTGGCCGAGAATAACCCATTTCCAGCCGCCGGCCAACTTCTTGGTCCGTCTCCGAACTCTTTTTCAGGAAGTATTGCCATTCCTCGACAAAACTCATGCAAATTCCAGCGAAATTAAGGTGACATCTCAAAAATGGGGTTGGGTGAGAAATCTTGGAGTGCATCTTTTCTGAGAAAAACAGCATCACCAGCCAGCAATTTGTTTTTTCTATTTGCTACCAAATGCAGTATTGCCTTCCCTGCAGCTGCAGCTGGTCCCATCATCTCTTTGCTCAGGGTTTGTCCTTTTCTTTCTTCTCACAAAGCACACATACCACTCTCACTCAGGTCGTCACATTGCATTTACGTACCTCCATTCTATGCAACAGCATTTCATAAAACCTCAGTGTGACTTTTACAGGACACAGAATAAATACATCTCTTTAATTCTCATGTAGCATAAAATATTGTATCAGAAATACAATACAACAAATATTGTTGTATTTCTGAGTAATACAATAATACTTTTTACATGAGCAGAAGAAATACACTGACTAGAACTTCCTCTATGAGTTTAGTTCATTGCACCTACTTCTCCAGCTGAAACAATACATCGCCAAGCCTCTTTATTGTAAAAAAACGGTGGGCATTCCCTTTCCTACATTCCGTGAAACTTTCCATGCATTCCTCTTTTTGACCAGTCTAACTTTGATTTTGTCTCTGTAATTTCAGTCTTAAATAGAGAGCAATCAAATCAGGAGCCTATTAGTTTTCCTTATAAATGTCTTCTATAGATTGTATGACTGATCTTACCTCTTAACATGACTTCCTCTAATTGTTTCATTGTTTTTTTTCTATAGTCTCCTTTTCTCATTTAGTCGTTCTCTTTACTTTTTAGCGTTCAAAGAAAAGTACTGAAAGTTGGTAACTAATCTGAATTACATCTAATTTTCTAAGCGTCTGTCTAGATGAAACAAGAAAAACAACAACAACAAAGAACCTTACCAAAGACACAGAGTGGAAGGTATAACATAGGAATCCTGTCTGGCAGCTGAGGAAGTGTCGTATGTCAGCTCTTACTGCGTTGACAGAAAATGACTCGGTTGCACCTGGATGGTTTTAGGTGTGGACCTGTCGGATCAGTCGAGGATGGGTGGAGCGTCTCACTCAGACACCCATTGGTAATTTCAATGTGTCCTGGCTGGGCATGAGAAAACCTGCCGAGTGTTTATAGGAAAGACAAGGCAGAGAGTCTGTGTCGCGGAAGAGAAAGAGAAACTCTTTCGCTACACTTAAAAATAAAGTAACTAAACTAGATTCTTCAAGTCGTCAACATTTTTCCCCTTTAAGTTTCACTTTGTGTCCTCTCAATCTTTTTACATTTACAAGAGGATTTCGTGTGACTACGCAGGTATTCTCTCCCCCCTCCAATCTTTTTCACATTTTATTACAAAACAAATGCAAACTGAAATGTATTTTATTTTTGACTTAATGTAACAAGCCACTACAATTTATGACACTGTAATTGTGAAGTTGAAGATTTCTGAGTATTTTCCAAGTTCTCTAATAAAAAACAAAAAAATTGAGGCATCCATTTGTTTTAACAGCCAAGTAAAATCAACCAGTTTCATTCAGAAGTAATCCAGAAAGTCAATGGAGTAACTGTGTAAGTTAATGTCCGGACAAATCCAACTGTTCTTTGCAGGTCTCAGAGCTTTGTTAGTTAACAAACAGCATGTTGAAGATCAACGGACACAAAAAACAGGACAAAGATAAGGTTGTGAAAAAATATCCAAACCTCCAGAGAAAGTAGTTCAGTGTATCACTGGAAAATGGAACGGTTATAACGCAAACCCAAACCTTTCAACAAATAGTTATCCACTCATGCTAGCAGATAACTAGTCTGAGTCCACTAGTGAAGCTGCATGATGTGTTGTGGTCCACAGCTCAGGTGGGACAATCTGCCAGTCATGTGACTCCACAAACATCTTTCTACGCGGATTTACGATCAGGCTGTGGATTGGAAACTGGTGAAGAGAATCAGGACACAAACCTGAAATGTCTTTCATCTGAACTGCAGTAGTTTAGATCAAAGACATTTCAGAATGGATCTATCGACATAATAAGCTAAACCCAGTTGATAATGTATAGCGATTGTTGGAACTTGTTGCTTTGCTGTAGGTTCTTGCCATGCATAGGTAGGTAACTCTCTCGGTCCTTTGATTTCCTCCCTCAGTCCAAAAACCATGTCGGTTAAAGTAACAATCATGAATTTTTTAGACCTACTCTCTAATGGTGCTTTTCCACCAGTGTGTGTAACTACCACTACTAAATAAATCTCCATCAGAAGATCCTGTGCGACTCTTCCCCATTTTTCATACCCACTTCTGGGGGTAGTACACGGCTATCGCTCTCCAGCGATACGACTGACAGCAGGCCTCATTCGTCGATTGGCCCATTATAACATCACTACGAACAACATCTCAACCGCTGCTGTGGCCCGGCTGCTCATTGTGGAGGAGCTCAATTATTAGTTTAATTTTAAACAGCGCTAACAGCACATGCGTCCACATTTGTATCAGAATTGTTGTGATTTAGCAGCAAGCCTCTCTGAAGAAAGGGGATGCAATGAAGAGAAACGGTGCGTTCTGGTCACCATTAGATCGGAGCAAAGGTTTTTTGCAGCCTTGGCGTGAAACTCTGGAGCTAGTTTGGTAGAACCAGACATTAATGGGGTAAAGTGAGACTTGACGATGGAGAAGCAGCTTGAGTTGTCCCGAGTTGCTTTTTGAAAGCGTAAGTGAATGTTGTTTGTCTCTGTGTAACCCTGGAATGGACTGGCAACCTGTCCATTGTCTTTCCTGCCTCCTGCCCAATGAGCAATGGAGACAGGCTCCAGCCCCCGGTGACACTATAAAGATAAGCAGGTGGAGACAATGGATGAATGGGTGGATGGATGCTATCTGTCTAATCTTAAGGTGTCTTGTAAAGAATGTGGCCAAATTGTAGCAGCTAGATGTGCAAGTCCGGAACAGATGAAACTCTACAACATATCGATTAGAGTGAGGTGAATAGTAAAGCTTTTAAGGCTTTCATTTGTTACAAAAGACATTAAAACAAACCGTGTATAATTTTTTTTTTGCACGTCACAATTATGCTCTACTTTGTGTTGTTCAGCTATATAAAATTCCCAAAAAAATCTAATTAAAAGTATTTGTGAGGTGACAAACTGTAAAACTACTCAAGTTGGTATTTCCTTGGCGACGGATACACAGCATTGCAGACAAAGGCTTGGACTGCACACATGGAAATCTCACAAAGATCAAAACAGCAGCTTTAAACAATGTGGAGAAAAGCCGCTGCAGGATTTATCAGTCAATGAGAGTTTTATGGCAAATTTAACAGGTGCAACAATGTCAATGCAAATATGGTGCAAGTAAAAACATGTTCAGAGTCCCTTGTAGCATCACATTTAAGTTCCCCAAAGTGAACTCTTCTTTTTTTTTTCTGTCAGCTCAGCACATACAATTCAATCCAACATTCATGTTCATGGCACAGAATCCCTGGCATTCCTCTGCAGGGAGGGTTAGTCTTGGCTGAGGTTTTCTTTTCCTTTTTTTTCCCGTACAGAGCGCTTGCTTGCTTTGTTTTCCTTTTAGTTTCCAAGTGACGTGCTGACACACCCACTTACAGGGTTTGTCATGAATGCAACATGTACACCAGGTGGAATTACCCAACGCACGGAGCCAGCAGATGCTCCTACAAGGAGATTTTGCAATGTGTCAAGTGGGAACTAAAACAGATGTTTTCACTGAGCTTTTTTTGTTGTTGTTTTTTTTGTAAATTTAGTAAATAATACCTAAAGTAAACAATTCCTCACAGCCACTTATTAAAGTTCAGTTAGGATGTGTAAAAGTAAAGTTACCTGTCAGTTCTTTGTAAGCCACGAGACAGGTTATTTCATTTTGGTTGTTTTTATACGTACAAAAGTCAACCCTTAAAAAAATAATTACAAAAAAAAAAAAAAAAAAAAAAGGAGCGTCTATCCGGCTGAAAATAGAACTGTCTGAAGACGGCAGAATTCTGCAATAAAGATGATGCTATCTCTGCAGCAAGCAGACGCAGAAAGGAAGAAGATCAGACAGAGAGGAAAGATTAATGCTTTTCAACAAAGAGCATGTCATTCCCTTTGTCAGCCTCTAGAGAATGCTGATGCTCCATCCTTTTGCTACTCTTTAGATTTCTGTTAATCAGGAAGGGAGAAAGGGGAAGAAAGGCAAGTATTGTTAAGTGGACCAAAAATACAGACAAAAATCTCATCTGGATGCTGAGGGATAAGAAAAAAAACAGAGTCCACCTGACATGTAAGAGAAGCTGTGAAACTGGTTGTTGTTACTTACGTAAGCGCCAAAGATAGAGTGAGCCAATCAGAGATGGCCTCTTAAGTGCACCTGATATCAATTGCAACAAAGCCTGTGGCTTTAAGAGATGTTTTTCTTGCACTTGTTTTGTTTGTGTGGTTGAGACAAAACTTGAGCTCTGTGACTGGACCTGCAACCTGCACCATATCTCTGCCGCCCTGCCCTCACAGGGCAAAACATGTTGTTTTGCAACATGTGGGATGCGGGCATGCACTTTTTCATCATCGCTGCGGCGCAGGTGTTAACCGCCTTTGCCTGGAAACGCGGCCGGAAACACTCGTCTTAGACACAAGAGGTGCGATGAAAGACGTGATTTTGTTTTTGTCATTTCATCTTGGATGAATTTTGAACGTGAAACAAGCTGAAAGACGTGTGAAGGAAAGCAGCAATTAAATAGTAATTAAATGCGGCTCTGTAGGAACTAATGTGTTTAGATTTTATGAAACAGTTCAAGAAGAAAGTTGTTGGAAGACATCCAGAAGTATTTAGCAGTTCTCTGAGAGCCATCTGGAGGACACAGGGAACATGTGGAAGAAGGTCTGCTGGACAGGTCACATCGCCGGTGTACTCTTTTGATCTTTGTACAAAAGCTCTGTAGGACAGAAAGCTAAAAATCCATTTTGCTTAAACGCTCCAATCCCTAGAACGAAGCAGTAGGAATAATCAACAAAGTCACAGTGGATGCTAACATTGGCTGATCTAAACACTGGCTGAAAAGCTGCTGGTGACTAGCCTGGTTATTTCCTCCTAAACAATTCCACTCAATTCTAATCTCAATTCAGTATTATGTCTGGGATTTCTCCCATTGACCTGGATTTGCCCTGTAAAATTTTAAAAGAGCCAATCAGCAAACAGAAATGAACGAAGCCCTTCAGTCCACGTTGGGCACGCCTCCAAATATTAAGCTAGCGCTAGCAGCCGACTCGTTCAGGTCGGCATTTCTGTTTTCACGGTGGAGGATGGTTGTTTCCAACATGTGATTTCAGGTAAGCTTCATAGCGTCGAACTGGTGCATTGCATTTCGTCATGGCCAAACAATAGTGATTAGGTGACGTTTAAAACTTCAGCAGAATACACGCCTTGAACAAGCAATCGTTTCTGAACGTAAAGCTATTGTTCATATTCTTTGCAAAGAAAGCTGAGCCAAAATGTCACTTTTCAGATGTGCTAAGCTGCTTGATGCCTCCTGCAAAAGACCATAAGAGGTAAATGCAGCAAGAGGTGCTTTACCAAGGTCTGTCACATAAAATCCCAATAAAGTATGTTGAAGTTCGTTCTTGTAAATGCAAAACAAGTTCAATGGATATAAATGCTTTTGCAAGGCACTGTGTGACCTATATCACTGTAAGACATAAAAGAGACAGAATCAATGAGGCCTCTCCTTGCTTTCATCCTTCTGTGTGGGTAGGCTGATTCATTCCTGATTCTAAATCAACTCCATATAAATAAATAAACAATTAAACAACTCATGCTGCTTTTTTCTACCTGATGTAAAATTTAAAAAATAAAGTTTTGAGAGGGAATGATTTTTTTTATTCGGTTTCTGTTGGAGATATGATTCAGATCAGTTTTTATTAGAATATATCTGGAAGAAACTGGAAAAAAAATATAATATGCACGCTGCTCACCTCTGAATCAGCAGGGCAAATTTTAGCAGTTGCAATCT